GACGGTTCTAGAGGGGAGGGGGGTGGGAGGATGGGTTAGCCTGGTGGTGGGTATTGAGGAGGGCACATTCTGCATGGAGCACTGGGTTTTATGCACAAACAATGAATCATGGAACACTACATCAAAAACTAATGATGTATGGTGATTAACATAACAATAAAAATTTTTTAAAAGTAAATAAGGCTTCACAGATAATGGGCACAGCTGTGTGGACAATACAAAATATGACGTAAGAAGACAACCAGTGTCATTTGAAAACATGTACCGAATAACCAGTACAACTGAAAATGCCCATCCCACTGCAGACAGAAAGGTTGTGCTAAGAATTCAGACTTGGCAACAGACAGACTGAGTTCAGGCAGAACCACATAGAGACTAAAGAAATTAATGTTCCTCGGGACAAGAGATCTGCCATTAATCTTTATTTGTATGATTGTTTTCTGGAAAGCTCTTTATTTTCAAAGCTCTTTATTTTCAGCTAATTCTGAGACAAGTAGCAGAAGGCACATACGAAGAAATACTTTTATTACATCACAAAGAGAAGTTCTATATTTCGAAATCATTTTTCAAAATCTTTTTTTTTTTTTCAGGGTATTAGTAAGAAGATCTATTCATGCAGAGCAAAAAAAAAAAAAAAATTAAGCAAAGGCCAAGGATGTCAGGCACACAAAGGTATGCATGAGCTGTCTTCACATAGAATTTCACGTTTCTAAGATCAGGTAGACATATCCGTGCACATCTAACCATGTCAAATGGTACAATTCCTCAGTGAACCCGGGTGTACCGAGAGAGGTGGGCTAGCTTCACGCCAAAGCATTTTGTTGAGTTTGGTTTGTGGGCAGACAGTTGAAATACTGCTTCATGGCTTGGGTTTTCTAAAAGAAAGGAAGAATATCAGGGAGAAGATTTCAGGAGAGAAAGCCAGTGTTTACCACGATCTTCACTATTTATCACGCATTAGTGGGAAGTATTCCCTTTTACTCTATAAACCATTACTCATCATTTCCTTCCAAGTGCAAGGAAAGGAAAGGAAATATTTTTTCGTGGAAAACCAGACCAGGTTTATATCCTTTCTCTGTACTAACACATATCAAACACCGTAAGGAAGTCAGTATCTCCGATTACAGTTTCCCCACTGAAATTTCATGGAGAACGGAGAGGTCGAATTTACAAGTTTAGTCCTGGAGAGGGAAATTTAAATGGTCCACACCTCGACTGGAGGACAGTATTGATTAGCAGCCCTTGGGGAGGGAGAATTCAGTCTCATACTAGAGATTATTTCTCCTGGGGCATTAACTGAGCATCAACTTCAAACACAGGAAATGAGAATTCCTTCCTCATTCCATTCATTGTTCTGCCTGGGTTCTCCACATTCTCCCTAAAGTCAAATCTCTTCAAATAAAATGCCCGGATTCTCCAGGAGTGAAGAGATGGGTTTGCTTTGAACACTGAAGGGCCTGCCCAGTTGAATGCATGACCTCATTGCCCTGTTGCATTTGAAAGGATACTGAATCTCTCCAGGGGTCAGGGGAAGGATTTGAGGGAGGTGTCTGAGTCACTCCTTCACGATCAGGCATTGTGACCTCACAACAGACTACTCTGGACGGATTCCAAAGTAGAGAATCCTTGAAATAGGCAAATGCGCTTGCTGACCACAGCTGTATTTGCCTTTTTTTCTTTTTTTGCTTCTCTCAGCCTATAAAGCCATCTGGCTACAGGAAGGATGCTCTGAGCTCTGCCACTTCACATTCAATATTTTTTTTAATTACCACACTAAAATTGCATGATTTTAAAAGAACTTTATAAGCACAGTGAATAAAAATGGATTTAAACAGTACTTACGAGTTTTCACTGTTTGGGGCTTTTTGGTATGAGAATAAATAATCAGGCTATTTCCCTTCCCCAACATTCTTCAGATAGAATTTCTAAAAGTAAACATGCTCAATTTCTTTTTTTCAAAAAATGTGTCCCAAACCATTCCTTAGAAATGAGAGTAGGGACACTAAAAAGATTAACAAGTCTTCTCAATAGTAACAACAGAAGAAAACTGTTAAAAATTTTTAAATAAAAGAAATGGGATTATTTCCAAAATGACAACCATTAGGACTTAAAGGGGAGGTCTGCGTGTCCAGAACATGAAAGAAACCACCTGGGAAATTTCAAATGCTGGGCCTGATTCGCTTTGTAATTTAAATAAATGAATAATGAAATTTCCATGATCTGATAATAAGGGGCTACTCTCACCAACTCCAAGATTCCCTAAAAATATATGAATTTTTTTATATTAACTTTTTATGTATAAGCATAAGAATAGCCTTCACCGAACACCTGCTCTGTGCTTCAGAGCCCCTCCCTCCTTCTCTCCTTCCCCAGCCCCGCTGATGTCTGCGGCCCCCAAATCTGCCTTACATGTTTCCGTGGAGGGAAGGAGACCAAATAAATTATTAGTAAGGAGACTAAAAGAATTGTTCTAACTTAAATTTTAAATGCTTCTAGCACCAGAGCACACGGTAGACCTCACTGCCTAGAGAATAAACTGCTGACACAAATTTGTTCACAAGGTTAAAAAATATTAATAAGAATATAACACTTGCATCAGCATCTGCTAAGTTTCTGGAATAGCCAGATATTTCTGTAGCATTTACTGATCTTGACTTGTTTTCATACATACGGTCTTATCTATACGGTCCACAATATTTGAGCATTTCTTCTAGGTCCTCAATATCCACTATCATCAGATACTGTCATCACCTCATTAATATATTTACACGGCACTTACCGAACTACTGAGAATTACATAGCTATCTTACATCATCAGAAGTTTAAAATTACAAGGCAGCAAGCATCCTTGTCAAAGAGACCTAAGGTGATTTTCACCGTATTCCACGATGTTTCTACATGAGCATTCTCGTAAATGTAAATGTCTATCAAGTACTTATCGCTCCATCTCTAGCCGCAGTAGTTCTCTTTCAAGAAGAAGAGTCTGCATTGTGAGTGTTCAAGCCTGTCGTTTACTGCCACCATCGTGAACACCGACTGTCACTCCCCTATAACTGTGTGAGTACACGGGGCCGTAAAAGGGTCCATGTACTAGAACGCGGGTAACAGAACACTCCCCGTGCTCTCACTTACCTGAAGGTCACACAGGAAGAAGAGGAAATAAATAATACAAGACAAACCCCTCCTTGCCCCCAAGGTGCGCTTTTTCCTATAAGTCATATAAACCATGGTCTTCCACACCCTCGCACGCCGGACACGGGTCCAACAGAGCTCAGCAGCCCTGCGGCTCCAGAGCAGGGCAGCCTGGACCGTGCGAAGACAGTCAAACGGGCCTGAACTGGGTCCCCTTCTCCCGTCACCCGTGAGAGGTGGTACGCAACGCTGTCATACACAAGGTTTCCACCCCAGGCCTGTGTGGTTACCTGGAAATGTTGAAGAAATAAAGCATGAAAAGGCCTAAGACTCTTCTCCTCCTTCTTCTTCTCCTGCCTCTTCTTCTCCTTTCTCAGCTTCCTCTTCCTCTGCGTCCCCTTCTGCTCCCTCCTCAGTTATCTCTTCCATCTTATGTTAACAAAAATTTCATTATTTGTGAGAAAGGTCACAGATATAGTGAGGAAAGAAATGTAAAATCTCAGGCTAGAGATGAGGGCCTCCCACACTCCCCACCCAACACACACATCCATCACACAAACAATATAATAAACACACACAATAAACACAACACACATCACACACACAATATACACAACACACATCACACACAACACACACACACCCATCACACACACAATACACACAACACACACACACCCATCACACACACAATACACACAACACACAACACACACACATCAACACACAATACACAACACTTATCGCACACACAACACACATTCATCACACAAGCAACACACACATCACACACACCCATCACATACACATGCACATCACACACAACACACACATCACACACACAACACACATCACACACAATACACACAACACAGACCACACACACAACATACATCAAACACAGCACATGCACACACATACAGACTGCACAATTTGGAACAGTGCTGCACAGCACTACGTTAATTCTAATGGTATCATGATTTCTCTTAAGCATGTGGTCTTTACTCATGTTAACAGACTATTGTCATCAAATTACTTTTAAATATTCAGAAGGCAGTTAGAAGAATAAAATACGAAAAGAATCTCAATGAACAGAATTTGATCAGAAAGGATGAAGCTTTTAAATGTAGAAGTTGGTTGTATTTTGTTATAGCAATCTAATTTTTTCAAGCCAAAGTCATCAGCAACCTATACATATAACCTGAAATTACTTCCAAATTATAGTACCTCTTACCTTTATATATAAAAATGGGATTTTTAAAAATGGAGACTTGTCTAATAACAAAAAAACTAATTATTGGAAAGATGTAACTTATAGGTAATTTTAAAAATCATAGCATAGAATAGGCTAGAAATAACCTTTAGGTCTCGGAATAGAGATTAATTTGACAAAATGACATTAAAAATAATGAAGCAGATCTATCTTTACTGCCTTCCCCCTCCCCAAAAAAATATACACACATTACATGAATGAAAGTAGATTACAAAAGAGTATTCATCAAGATTTGATGTGTGTGTGTGTGTGTGTGTGTGTGTGTGTGTGTAGCTAGCGGCTACCTCTGGGTAATGGGGCTGTAAACTATTTTTGTTTTCTTCTTCTATCTGTATTTTCTAAATTTTTTATGAAGTCATGAACTATTTCTGGGGCACCTGGGTGGCTTGGTCAATTGAGCATCAGATTCTTGGTTTCAGCTCAGTTCATGATCTCAGGGTCGTGAGATCGAGCCCCAAGTATGGCCGTGCTGGGTGTGGAGGCTGCTTAAGAGTCTCTCCCTCTCCTTCTGCCCCTCCCCGCTCATGCTCTCTCTCACTCTAAAAATAAATAAATAACTAAAAATTTTTTAAAAATAAAGATCATGAACTAATTCTTTGTTGTTGTGGTTTTTTTAATTTTATTTATTTATTTGACAGAGAGAGACACAGCGAGAGAGGGAACACAAGCAGGGGGAGTGGGAGAGGGAGAAGCAGGCTCCCGGCTGAGCAGGGAGCCTGATGCAGGGCTCGATCCCAGGACCCCGGGACCATGACCTGAGCTGAAGGCAGACGCTTAACGACTGAGCCACCCAGGTGCCCCTAATTCTTTGTTTTAAAATATTTTATTTATTTATATATTTTAGAGAGCAAGAGAGAGAAAGCAGGTGCATGCACACAAGCAGGAGGAGGAGGAGGGAGAGGGACAAGCAGACTCCACCCTGAGCACAGAGCCCTGTGCAGGGCTCAACCTCACGACCCTGAGAGCACGACCTGAGCAGAAATCAAGAGTCAGATGCTCAACCGACTGAGCCACCCAGGCACCCTGATCATGAACTATATCTAATAGTTGTCGTGTGTATGTGTTGGCCTTTTAAAAAGAAACAAAAGATTTTTAAGGGGAATTTCTTTTGACATTTGGGACCTTCTTTAATGTTGATGACCTTCATCAACAAAGGACTTGATGAGACACTGAGACAACATATTTGGTGATTTTGGGTAAATTATTCTCCCTATCCTTGAGTTCTCATTTTGATTTAGCTCTCTGATTAGCATTTTGAAACGATTAATCAAAAATCTTCATTCACAATATTCCTAAAACTTTTGGTTACAATGAACGTCACTGAGCCTCAGTTAACATGAGGGGCTGGAATAGGAGGGAGAATCTGAGAATGTCCCTTAGGACCTGCCCTCAGAATCCACTAACATTCTCTCAGCTGATACCTCTATACACAGACATGATTCCATCCCTGCGAGGGTGTAAATTTAAGACTCCCCCAATGCCCAGCTAATAAGCCACAGATTCAACAAGCAAGCAGCTGGGCAAGAATCTCAGTCTGCCTCATTTGGACATGTAGCCCCTCCAGTGCATCGGCAGCAATATAAAAATAGCATGCTGCCCTTGCAGGGTTAAATTAATGAAAATTATCATAAAATTCCTTATAATGAAGTCCTTCCCCCAGTGCCGATTAGCAAGCAAAACAAAATTCCTAGGAGAAGGAAAAGATCGTTCTTGGAAGCTCTCACAATTAAACAGGAAGAATTAGAACATTTCAACAAGCAGGAAAAGAATGGGAAAGAAGAGAATTCGTCCGTAAAAAAACTTTTTTTTTTTTTTTTAAAGATTTTATTTATTTGACAGAGAAAGACACAGCGAGAGAGGGGAACACAAGCAGGGGGAGTGGGAGAGGGAGAAGCAG